GAACGTATCGCGTCGGGCCTACGTTTTCAGCCTACGTGTTGAGCTCCGTATGAATACGATGCGTGTTGCGTGTTGTGTATCGGGGCAGCTAAGTCCATGGCCAATCCACGATGGGTGTTCCACCAGCTTCCAGGCCCTGGATTCGTTATCCAATGGTTCCTTCAGGAGGACGAGCACGGCCTGTTTTGAGGTGCTCGCTCCTGGGGGTCCAGCCCGCGCGGTGCATGGCGAATGCAAACGAGGGCGATTGCGACCGCGAGTATTCAACAAAATGCCTTCACCGTAGTTCCAGCTGGACTCAAGAGGCCAGGCCCCCCGAGTGGTTTGGGGCGGTCTCAACTCCTCGGCTCCGCCTCTGGCGGCGCCCCTGGGGCGCTCCGCGCCCCAGGGTTGAGGTGTGGAGACCGCCCCTGACCATTTGGTTTCCACTGGAATTACCTCGGGGGGCCTGTGTAGGCAGGCCAGCCAGGACTACCCCAGGGATTACCTGGCGCAGGAGGCGCCGCCAGGGGGTCCAGCGCTGATCCCAGAAATCCGCGCGGACCTCTCAGAGTGCATGTTTATGTAATTAGTTCAATCTTCCTCTACTCCTGCTGCTCTCTGCTTCCTATTGCTGCTGGTCCTCCTCTTTTCCATCCCCGCGGCCTCTTTGGCTTCAGACTTCAGTCAGTGCGGGGTGCGCCTGGTGGCACACAAGGGGTGCCGCTGATCCGCGGCAGACCTCAACGCTGCCAGGCATACTGTGCTCTGCGCGTCCTCAGGTCACCTCGCGCAGCGATTGTCCATGAGGTGGCGCTGTATGAGTCGTTGTGCTCGAAAGGGCAGTACGCGAGATATGTTGCTTCAATACGGAGTATCCGTGGCTGCTGGCATCGCCTTGGCCGAGACCCTTGCGCGCGTGTGCAAGTTTAGACGGGGGTGAGGGCTGATGGCGCTGAGCTTCTTGGCCCAGGCAGCTTTGGGTCACGTAGAGCACGCGCCGTCTGCGCATAACGCAGTTATCACATGGTGGTGCAAATCACCGCGGCGCTGCGTAGTCTGTGCGCAAAAGATCAGTCCAAGCGTTGGGAGCCCGCGCCGGTCCGGAGTTGGTCTTCGCGGCATCTTTTCATCCTCACCGCGGCCTGGTGCCAGCGAGCTCTTTTCGCGTGGGGAGTGAGGTGGCAATGACCCCAGCTCCCGACGGGGACGTCTCTGTTGGCAGCTGGGCAGAGCTTAGAATATTACAGCACTTGGCATTCCAGCACGCCTCAACGTGCCAGGGGGTACAGTGGTGGATATTTGTGTTCACAGAGAAGTCTTCACCGGGAACACGGATTTGGGAAAGGAATTGCGCTCCATCATTTGTGTAGCTGTATCACAGTTGTGCCACTGTGATCTTATTTTGGAGGAAGTGTCAAGTCACAACCGCGATTTGGAAAAGGAGCCGCCCTGGCAACCTTACCGCTGCTGGAAGCCTTGGTGAGACGTGCGTCTGCGGAGCCGAGGCGAGGGCCACCTCTTAGAACGCATCCGCCCTCCGCCGGTGCAGCTGCTGAAGCACGTCGAGGCGAACGTGCGCAGAGCCGCCGTTTGAAGATTGCCCTCCCTTCATCCTTCTCTTCGTGTGTGAAACCTTTCATAAGGGAACGTGCGCCGCGCTGAGGTTAGAAGGCCACATGTTGACACCTGCGGATGCCGCTGCTTCGCTCGTCACCAGCGTTCTCTCTTGTTCCTTTCTCTCCATTCCAGCATCGAACCTCCCGCCGTAGACCGAACCGAACCGAGGAAGAGGAGGAGGATGAGGAAGAGGAGGAGGAGGAGGAGGAGGAGGAGGAGGAGGAGGAGGAGGAGGAGGAGGAGGAGGAGGGCGGAAACGTAGGAGGGCGGAAACGGAGGGATGGGGAACGGGGGCGAAACAGGTCCCGGAAACGGAGGGGGAGAAAGGAAGAAGGAGGAGGGGTAAGAGGGAAGTTTTTTTTTTTTTTTTTTTTTTTTTTTTTTTTTTTTTTTTTTTTTTTTTTGGGGGAGGGCGGGGGAAGTAGGAGAAGGAGGGGGCAAGGGGGCGATCCGTCCCCCCTGCACTCTACCAGCCATGGGGGTCTGGGGGCCCGCCCCGCAAGCGCCACCGCACCCTCCGCAACGGCCTCCTAGAGCTGGCGGAGCCGCCGCCTCCCGGCCCCACCCCCCCTAGCCCTCCGTTCGCCCCGTCGTTTTTTTCTTCGCGACGGCCGTGAAAATATAGCTGACGCAGGCCGCGAGGTACGGGTGGACGGTCCCGGTGGGAGGCCATCCCGCCAGTCTCTACCTTCCGCCCCCGGCCATCCGCCTCCGCGGAATACCCCTCCCCCCTTCCTCATTCACATCTCCTCCATTTCCCTCTCTCATCCTTCCTCATTTCTCCTCACATCCCCTCATAAATCCTACTCCCCTCCTCCTAACTTTTTGTGTGTCTTGCATGTTTTATCCTCACCCTCTTCCTCAATCTCCTATTCACTACTACATCACTCCTAAGTCATCA